CCTCTCTCTCTCCATGTGCCAAAATACACATGATGTAATGAGAGCCATAACCCTATTGCAGATTTTCAACCGTTTTCCCACCAAGACCCAGAAGGGATGACTGATAATTCCAGCTTTCTTTTCTCTTTCTTGAAAGTAAATTAAATACAAAATGGGTTGTGTAACGTCAAAGCTGTTTTCATGTATAGAAAGAGTTCCAGTACCTTGTCTATTAGTGTTAACAAATTACTTTGGACATACTTCCCAACCTACAAAGCACCATGGTTCTCCACCACCCTTCATTTCTGACCTGGGAACAGGAACAGGCAGCACTTAGGTATACTTTAACAATCACCAGCAAAAAGAGAAGTCTCATGTGTCATACATGTACAAACATCCTATTTAAAATAAATCTCTTTTACAAGTGAGTCTCTAGCAAATTATCACTACAAGGACACTGAGAATCCATAGATATTCCCTTCTTGCTGGAAATCTATAAATTGTGTTTATGAATAAAGGAATTACATCATTTCCTCCCCAAAAAAAGAGAAAAAAATTATGGAATGAACTTTCTTGATCCTGCCCTAGAATTTCAAAATGGAGAAATAAGACTTCCTCTTAGAGTAACCTTATGAAATCAATACACAATAATTCAGCTCAGAAAGTGAACTGAAAGTAGTCCATCCATACCAGCATCCTCCTCAGCAATACCTCCCACGGAACATAAGCAATTTGAAAAGCAGCCCTGTTGATTCACCAACCTCCCTCTCCCAGCACCAGTCCCTTCACTGTCTCACAGTGACTAAATGGCTCCAAGGCCAGCAAGATGGAGAGTAACTGGCAGAAGCTATAAACATGTCCAAAGCAAGGACACTGTCCATCAGCAGTGAGCCCCATCTGCCACAAAAGCAGCATGGAAGGGTAAGAGAGGGACTTGGCAGTGCCCATGTAAACACTGTCTGCTAGGAAGTACCCTGGCTTGGGAACCTATGAATCAAAACTCAGGCACAGGTTTCCTACATTGGAAAACAACGCATGAGGCTCCTGACATTAACCGCTATGGTTGCCTAACTGGCTCCCTGGACTGAACCTTGGTCAAATGATCAGCAAGCAAACTTTTGATCATAATTTAGGTTCTCAGAATGACCTGCCTACAGCGGGCAAAAAAAAAAATGTGCTACGCAAAACATGTATTCAGTTCACTTGGTTACCTTTTTCACGCAATATGGTTAACAAACTTGGTTTCCACATTTCTTGTGACTTTTAATTAACCAGTCCCTCAGAGCTCACTAATAAGTGAATGCCTCATCCTGCAAGCCAAAAATCAGCTTTTCCTAGGCAAATGCTTGCTGGATCCTTGGAGCCCCTTATGAGCAGTCCTCTGGCCTCCCCAGGAATATTTCTCTGCTTCAAGATGTGTCCTCTGCAAACTACAATGGACCTTTATATAAAATGGCCATTTTTATCTTATTGTCAATATATCTATATGCATTCCCACCCTCATCTTGCCTGGACGCATTTCAATAGCTCCTTAATTCCAACCTTTTAAAGCTATAACACACTACCATTACATCCTTAATTACATGACAGTCTTTTCCTTCCCTAAGAATGCTGTATGATGTATTTTTCTCTTTTCAATGAAAATATATTAAAACCAAAATAAATTTCTTCCAGAATTTCTAAAGTTCCCTGGAGTGCCACAAACCAAAACTGTGGATCACACTATCATAATGGGTAGAAATGCTGGTTTTTAATCTGGGTGAGTGCTAAATGGGTGTTTGTTCTCAGTCTCTGTACTTTTCTTAAGTTTGAAATAGTTCACTTTTTTAATGTGGCCTTTTGAATGACTTCATGCAGTGCTTTGTACATTACAGGTCCTCAAGAAACAAACAAACAAAAACAAGATGGAGTGAATGAAACAAATGTTCAAACAAATCCACTTTAATATATTTGAGATAAACAATGAAGGTACTTCATTAATAATAACTTATTAACATAGTCCTCCTTTTTCCTTATTCTTAAGTCATGATAGCGATAAGACAGCTCTAAGAGAGATAGCACAAGGCTATGAACAAGAGCTTCTGATTTTATGTGCTGTATGATGTGAATGTTGTATGTAATCTGGAGATTTTCAGATGGGAAAGGCAAATTTGATGTAAATATTTCCTTTTATAAAGCCCCTTAAGTTTAAGAATTTTAAAATTAAACTGTCAGACAGGTACCCAGTGAGCACATGCAAGCTGGGCTCGGAACCAATACCTTGGGCTGCGGCCTCAGGGTGGTACTCCGGCTCCTCTTCCGGAGGGCTCTGCAGGAAGTAGAGCTGCTCTGGCAGCATGCTGGCAATCTTCTCCTTCCCTAGGACGTGGGTGCTCAGAAGGGGGCTGACACTCCGTTTCACTTTCTCTCTCCTCTCATGGGCCATAATTTTTTTGGTCCGAGCCTTGATGTTCTCCCAGCACTTCTTCAGCTGTTTGAAATCCCGCAGTGACACGCTGGGCTGGGAGTTGTATTCGTGAGCCAGTGCCTGCCAGGTACGTTGCTTGAGTGCAATAGTTCGCGCATCACTTTTCTTACATTCCAGCACATACTTGTACTTTTCTACTAAAGCAAGCAGGATGCTCTTTTCCAATTCTGAGAAGTATTTGGCAGGCTTTATAATTTCGTTGTTTTGCATTTTCCACTATATTTCTTCGGGCCCTTAGCTATCCTGCAAATGGAAATTAGAAACAATAATTATGAACGCCGGCAATAAAAATGTCAGCAAATGACTTAAGTGTAATCCCTGACTTGATTCCCTTGTCTGGAAAACAGTAGTACTTTGTGCTCCATTAATGTTGACTTGTGATATTCTCAGGAAAATATTGAACAGTGTACTAGGAGTGGGGTTTTACTTCAAAGTAGATGTGCAGGTAGGTCCTCTGTTGTAGGTCTCAGCATTCTGTGAATAGCTGGTATGTAACAGCAAAAAAAGAAATGTTGAACATCTTTTGCGGAATTTCAATGTGGAACCCTAATTTGTTCATTTGTGTGTGCTTCATGTCAGGGAACTGATTATTCCTCACATTCTGAATGTTAGGCAGCTCTTAAACTTAACAGCTTTCTCCAAGTTTTGTCACAGCTGAACACAGAGAAGCCACCATGTAACCAAATATAACAGACCATGTAAACACTATCAAGATATTAGGATCATCAAAAAAATCACCCCAAACATCTGACATTTCCATCACTATGTCTGTGACCTTGGATAGATCCATTCTCCTAAAGGAACCTCAGTTTCATCATCTTTAAAATAAAGGCTTAGGGCTGGCCAAGTGGCTCAACTGGTTAAGAGCTCGCTCAAAAGTGCGAGCTCTGAACAACAGGGTCGTCGGTTCAATTTCCAGCCCGAGCTGAGCTGCCGCTGAACTACCAACAGGTGGCAGGATGGCTCCGCTAAAAAATAAAAAAAATATGAAGGTTGGGTCTGATTCTTACTGTCTAAGGGCCACTTTTAAAAGTACACAGTTCTACATAAATAATTTATATAATTTCAGAGGTGAAAGGGCCTGGGCACATAGAGATTGAGTCCAACACCCCTCTTTTTTTCTGGATATTTCATATAAATGTAAATACAATATGAGGTCTATTGTGACTTGCTTCTTTGACTTAACATAATGTTTTCAAGGTATATCTACCTTGTAGCATGTATCCATATTTCATTCCTTTTTATTGCCAAATATTCCATTTTGTGGATGTAGCACATTCTATTTATTCATTAATAAATTTTTATTGAACTATAATTGATATATAACATTATGTTAGTTTCAGGTGTACAACATAATGATTCGAGATATACATACAGTATATGTGAAATTGCCACAATAAGTCTAGTTAACATCCATCACACCACACAGCGATAATTTTTTTCTTGTAATGAGAACTTTTAAGATCTACTCTCTTAGCAACTTTCAAATAAACAATACAGTATTATTAACTATAGTCGCTGTGGTATATATTACATCCCCAGGACTTACCTATTTTATAACTAGAAGTTTGTACCTTTTGACCACCTTCACCCATTTTACCCACTCTCCACACCCCTGCCTCTGGCAACCACCAACCTATTTTTCTGTGTCTATGAATTTGGACTGTTTCAGATTCCACATATAAGTGAGACCATATGGTATTTATCTTTCCCTGTCTGACATATCTCACTTAGCATAAAGCCCTCAAAATCCACCCATGTCGCAAACTGCAGAATTTCCTTCCTTTTTGTGTCTGAATAATATATGCATATCACATGTTCTTTATCCCTTGTTTCAGTTGAAGGAACTAAGGGCCAGTGAAGTGAAATACATTGCCCAACATCATAAAGATGACAATGTGAGAAGTCAAGAACCTGGACTGTCCTAACAGTCTAATATTCTTTTTCTCCCCCTTAACACAGCAAATAGTAGCCATTCTTTTGTTTTGTTTTGTTTTTTGTTTTGTTTGTTTGTTTGTTTGTTTTTTAAAGATTTTATTGGGGCATTGGGGCAGGGGAACAGGCAAGTTGCTGTCCTTTTGTTCTTCAGTCTAGTTATGGAGGACGTTGCTTCACTGGCCCATGTTGGTATTATCACTGCGCTCTTCCCGGGTGAGGCAGTCGCTCGCCAGCCATTGGATGGCCACTCACAGTGGCTCACAGCAGCTCATGAAAGCGCATGCCGGCTGCCAGTCAGCCACACTGCAGCCTACACTGCCGCTGGCGACTCACGGCAGCCCAGCTCCAGGTCAAGCTGTTGTTCACCATCTTAGCTGTAGAGGATGCAGTGTCACTGGCCTGCATGTGGGATCCGAACCAGGGCCCTGCTGCTCAGAGCTGGCGTCCCAAGCCAACTCTTAACCAACGTGCCACTCAGCCGGCCCATAATAGCCATTCTTGTGCATATTCCTTTAAGTCTTTGTTCACATATTATAAATTACCAATTATATATTATTTTAAAAATTCAAAATGACATTACATTTTCTCCATTATTATTAAAGTCTACCTAGCTTTTTATATTTTTAATAAAAATTATATATGTTTAACATAGAATAAATTTGATTTGATATACATATACATAGTAGAACAAATACTAGAGTCAGGCTAATTAACATATCATCTCCTCACATAATTACCTTTTTGAGTGTGATGAAAGCACCTGAAATGTATTCTTTTAGTGTATTTCCAATATTCAACACAGAATTATTAACTGTCGTCATCATACCTGTGCATTGGATCTCTAGACTTATTCATCCTGCATAACTTGAACTTTGTACCCTCTGTCCACAATCTCCCCATTTCTCCCACCCGCGGTCCCTGGTAGCACTCTTCTACTCTTTTCTTCTGTGAGTTCGAATAGTCTGGTATTCTCGTATCATTTCACAACTATCCTTTGGGCTCTCTCACCTTGAATGACTTCAACCGTGACTCCCTTAGGTCATCTTGCCATCCTCCCCAGTGCGGAGCTAGCATCTTTCCTACAGTAGGTGCTTAGTAAATGTCTTATTCCATTGAATCTATATGCTTTTTGTGACTCCACACTTTTCTCACATCTTTTAAACACAGGAAGTGTCTAATAAAATTAATCTCTAAAACACATTATGGCAACAGTGAATACTGCGATAAAGTAGGTGTTGCCTGTTTCCCTTGGTGGAAAGGACCAGCACGCCCCAGTCCTCCACATGTTCTCCAAGCCTCTGGTTTCTCAGAGTAACAGGCAGCTATCAAGATACTGATGATGTAGTCCATTTAAAACTGACCAACCTGTATCAAAAGAATTAGAAACTAACTTGAAAGGAGCCCCACTGGCCAAAAATGGGACATGTGAATATCAACAAAGGTGATGGGTACACAAAAATGAATTAAATTATCCTCTTGATTTTTGTGCATGTTTGAAAAGTTCCATAATAAAAAGTTAGGGGGAAAAGGACTGTAGCTTTTACATTTATGGTATACTCATTAAAAATCACACTATTACAAGCCAGCTATTCACCTATTATGCCTGGGGAGGGGTTACTGTAAATGTGAATAGCTGAAATCAATTAGAACTGAGGCTGGAGGGGACTGGACCAGAACACAGAGTCTTGAAATTGAAGCCAAGGAGAATGGGCTTCACGTGAGGGCAACAGAAGTTGACCAGGGTCTCTCACGAGGTACCAGATCCTCCCAAAAGTTAAGGTTAGACTGAACTGCTGTGATCAGTGTCTCCACATACCAGATACCCTGACTCACATTCATCGTGGGCTCATCTGGTATCAAAAATCAAGATATTTAGACACATGTCAAAGGAGATTTGGCCCTCGGCTCTTGGGCAAAGCTAACTGAGGGGAAATTTATCTTTGGAGATGTGTCCCTGCACCCCTAAATTCCCAGGCCTATGTTTCAATCATATAGCTCTAATGTTCCTATAATGACCTAATCCAGTCACAACGGTCCAAAATTAATTATTTATCTTCATCAATACTCCTATTTCCTATAAATCAGTGTTCCCCCAACTGAAATTGAACACCCACCCCTATATCTTTTCTGTATTATCTCCATTTGCCAAGATGTCTATGTCCAACTTCCTATGGTTTTTATTATGAAACCAATAGGTATACTGAACATTCTCAAACTACACTGCTCCCAGAGTAGATTCTGATCCTATTCCACATCCCAACTCCTCTGCCCCAGATGTCAACATGCCTACCTTCCCCCATGCCCCCACCCTTTTTAAGAATTACTGCTGAAAAAGGGATTTTACCTTTGTTCTATTACAGGTAATGTTTTACATATATATATATATATATATATATATATATATGTAACAAAATGTATAATATATATTTATATTTTATGTGTATATAAAATATAAGTGCATATTTTTTCTTTCTAAATAAACCTTTATTTTTCTGTCTTTGATTATTTCTTCAAGGTAAATTGTTAGAAGAAGAATTGTTGCCACAAAAGATGAAAACACTTAAGGCTTCTGTTACATCACCATCTGTCCTCCAGAAATGGTGTACCAATTTACATTCCTACGAATAGCATTTGTTATCCCACTTCATTTACTCTTGCTGTTAACATTTTTAAAACCCTGTGCCAACTGTGGCGGTAAAAAATGGCACTTCATTGTTTAATGATATATGAAATTCTAGCTCTCAGGCAAATAAGCCACACTCTGAACAAAGTTCCTGTTATACTTGGTGGAATTCAAAATACACCAAATTACTGGGCTGTCTGAAAAGTCATGTCGTATTTTTTGTTTTTCGTTGCAAAAATGCGTCATGACTTTTCCGACAGCCCAATAGTTCCAAGCAATTTAGTAATTCTTCCTCACAATGTGTGCAGTACCACTAGTTGCCACCAGGTGGTGATGAACGCGTGAGGAGTCTAAATTCACAAAGGATCTTGCCCTGGAGTGTGGCCAGTTGAGTATCTAATAACAGCAATAATAGCAGGTAACTTTTATTGAGCCTTATACTGTGGGTTAGGCACTATACTGAGTGCTTAATATGCACTATATCCTTTAATCCTCCCCAAAATAGCTCCTGAGAGCATGATTTGTAGCACCATACACTACGATGTTTTCTGTTAAAAAAATAAAAACTTTATTAAAGTACCAGATGAAATTACACAACTGCTCTCAAAAGCAAATACTCAGAATTACCAACACCTGGGACCATTAATAGCCGATTAACTAAACTGTTATTTAATCACTAGCTAAGTAAATCCAGAGTTACCAATTTACTTCGCTTAAGTTTGTAGAACAGCAGGCTTCCCTGGGCCATGTGGTTGCACTCTGCAGGGCTCTAAAGGGATTCTGGTATGAGACAGCATACCCCAAACATCCCCTATGGATTCCCAGCAGCCTCGTGATGTAGGCTGTTTATCCCCACTAAACAATTATTCCTATTTCCCAAATCAGAAAAGTGAGACTCAGTGACTTGCCTGTGGTCACACAAATAATAAGTGGCAGAACCTGGATTCCAACTCAGGTCTTACTCCAGACCTGCCGCTGTCTGCTCTGCTCAGCTCTCTTCTTTCAGACATAGTGACAGCCCCTAGCACCCCGCTCAAAGTACACATCAAATTACACAGCAAGGTAATTGTCAGCAGGGAAAGGTCCGAGGGCAGAGCGACTTCGGGGCCGCTGTACCTGCGTCTGTCAGGCTCCATTCTGGTGGCTCTCCGCTTGCCTCCCCACCCCATCACTTCCTCCCTGTGTGTCTCAAACCTAGGGTCCATAGGCCCCCACGCCCCACTCCCATCCAGGTGTACCTCTCTTCCTCCAACCAGAGCTCTGAAATAACTTCTGCTGTTGATCTGATAAAAATGTATGTTTGAAAAGTAACTGTAGAGATAATATAGAGCTTTAAAATGGTCCACCCCTCAGGGGACCGCTGACATGCGGCTTCAGCACCTGACAGTCCTAAGTAAACGAGCACAGCCCAAAGAGATCTCCAGGTGAAGCTTATCGAGGCTAAACAACACATTCTAGCTTAAAACTACTCAGCAATGTCCATAATTGGTTATAGAAGACAACAGAACAAGCCTTCCCAGCTGATCAGTTTTTATTGGAGGGAGACTGGCCTTCCCTGCCCCCCAACTCTGCTCAGGATGGGTTACCTTCTTTGTCTGTTGTTCTGCTAGACAGAGTGCTACCCATTCTCCTGCATGGTTGTGGGCCAACAAGCAGCCCAGGGACCCTCACACAGTGGGCCTTCAGCAAACATTTAATGAATGACTACATTCTGATATAGGCGTAAAACTGCCTACGATGCACACAATGAGTATCATGCATGGTAAAACAGTCAGTACACTAAAAACTTCATTAAAGTAAAAATGGTCAAATAAAATAGCAAAATCTAAATGCAGTGGAAGTTCCCCCCCTGCACTGGCAAAGATCCAGAGACAGGACTAAATAAAAGAGCATGATTCCAATATGATGAAAGAACAAAGAGGAAACAATCAGCACAATTCCCGAAACATTAACATTGACTAAACCACCAGAAGATTATAATAAGTACATTTAAATCCACCTAATACATCTGTTATAACTGAATGTTTGTAGTCCCCCCAAATGTTTATATTAAAGGCCTAATCCCCATGGTGGCTGTGTTTGGATATTGGGCCTCTAAGGAAGTTTAAAGTTCAATGAGGTCATTGGGCTGGTTGGAGATTAGAGCCCTTAAAAGAAGAGCCATCAGAGAGCCTGTTCTCCCCCCAACCCTCCAGGGCTCAGCAAGAGGTCATGTGAACACACAAGAGACATGGCAGCCGCCTACATGCCAAGTGAAGAGGCCTCAGACTAAAACCTACCTTGCCAGCACCTTGACTTTGAAGTTCCTAGCCTCCAGAGCTGTGAGAAATACATTTCTGTTGTTTAAGATACCTAGTCTGTGGTATTTTATCATGGAAGCCCAAGCTGACTAATATACCGTCTCTAATGATATTTTAAGTCCAATGAAGGATCAAACTAAATCCCCAAATTTGTGCAAAGACTACAGAAACTTGGCCAGGTTTTTACTTCTACATCCCTTCATGGAAAAGGGAGCTCTTTGACATCAACACTCAGAGTGGGAACCGGGACTGAAGATCTGTGGCACTGAGACCTCAGGCAGCTTTCAGGACGTTACTGCACTACCGCTGTTAAAGTGAAGTGAAATGAACCAAGACACCAAATACTGACTCCAGCACTCACCAAGTGTGACTTTGGGCAAGTCAATGAACCTGCAATTCTTCACCTAGAAAATGGGATTACTACTCCCTACTCTTCCTCATTCCCTCTGCACAGCTGTCCTGCAACGGGAGTAAAGAAGAAGCAAAGACGAGAGTTTCAATACATTTTGCTATTTTCACCTCTCCCATCCATATTAAACTGTTTCCAAAAGTAGAATAGTGGTCCATACATAACATATAGATGCTCCTCGACTTGTGGTGGGGTTACGTTCCGATAAACCCATTGTAAGTTGAAAATATCATTAGTCAAAAATGCATTCTATACACCTAACCTGCTGAACATCAGAGCTTGGCCTAGCCTACATTAAATGTGCTCAGAACACTTACATTAGCTTACAGTTGGGCTAGCAGCTCCTGCGAGCCACTAGCTACTTGCAGAAACAGGAGACACAGATAGGTATTTTGTAGACATGACTGGATGTCAAAACACGAAATACAATAGCTGAAAAACGATGGTAACACAGTATACTGTAGAGTATCAGTGGTTTACCCTGTGATTGTGTGGCTGAAGAGAGCTGCAGCTCACTACCCCTGTCCAGTATCACAAGAGAGTATCAGATCGCTTATAGCTAATCCGGGAAAAGATCAAAATTCAAAATTCCAAGTACAGTTTCTATTGAATGCATATTGCTTTTGCACCATAGTAAAGTACAAAAAAAATCACAAGTCGAACCATCGTATGTGGGGACCATCTATATACTCACATACTTATTGGCTCTTTTATTTCATAGACACGCAGTTCAACAAATATATAATAACTCCTGCAAGAGGCTCAGTACTGTCCTAAAATATGTGGGAGATACAAAGACAAGTGGAACCCGATAGCCTGGAAGGAGCGTTGGCATGCACAAACCAGTAACTACAAGGACAGGCACCCTGAAACAGACACCATAACAGAGGACAAAGCGCCTCGCGCATTCAGAGGAGGAAAGAAGTTATTTGCATTCTTAATGAACAAGAGGACATTTGATCTACATCTTTAAGACTATATAGAATATGAACAGAGTTGAAGGAAATCATTGAGATAAATAAATGATAAGAATGGGCCTGGACTCTGAGCGGTGACCATGTTCATGCAAAGGAGGAGGTGCACACCAGTGACTGTTTCAAAGCAAGAAATGACCAGGACATGTGTGCATCCACACTAGGGTCAGGGATCAAGACAAAGCAGAGGCAAAGAGGATACACGAGGATTAACCGAGCATGAACGTGCAGGCACTGAAGGGGTATTCCTTAAGATCCAGGAGATCCTAGAGCAATGAGGACATAACACAGTAGAGTGTGGATGGGCTGGTGACAAGGCAGTGTGATAAGCACAGTGACAGAGATGTGTGCAGGGACACTACTCCAGGCTTGGGGGGATCCAGAATAAGAATTCTTATTAGAATAGATTGGCATTAGAAGTAGCATTAGAACAGAGCAGGGCCACAACTTGGAAAAGACTGAAAGAAGGAAAGTATACAAAAACAGTGCATGAGCTACAAAAAATATCGCACCCATTTCCTGAAGGGGAGGCCTGACAACGTGTTATGGGTGATCAATTTGCTCTAAAGAGATAAAAAGCTATTCCTGTTGTCATCTGTTGATTCTGTGTCCTGACTCAGCATCCCCCAAACAACCTTTTTGGGGAGCAACATGTATCCTAACATGCTAAAACTAAAAAGGGACCTCATTCCAATCCTATTGCTTTACAGATGAAGAAAACTGGGGCTCAGAGCAAAATAGGGGGCTTCCTGGGGTCCTAGTAACAGCAGAGGGCCTAAAAGTACAACTCCTCTTTGGAAGCCTCTCACTATCAAGGTGCCCTTTTGCTAGGGACCCTCCAGCCTTCCACCATTATCCCATTTGAAAACTCGAGGGCACTGCTCTCAGCTCCAACATTCATTTTGTGACATTAAGCAAGTCCCCTCTCTTCTCTGCCAATTTCTCACCTCTAAATTATAAAGCTAACATGAGTGTTCTCTAACGTCCTTCCAGAGCTGGCAGTGCATGTTAGCAATGCCGTTACAATCGTTTCTCTGCAACCTGATTTCCACAGTTTTCTACAAAATATGCACAGATGGTATTTCTGATCATTTATGAGGCCAGTGGAGCTACTAGCCAATGGAAGAGAACATTGTAACAGAATCAAGTGGCTTCAGCACTTTAGATGATTGAAGGCCCGTACCTAGGTTTAACTTTGTAGCTTAAGTAGTTCCAGATGAACTGTCTAAAGCAGGTGATCAGATCGCTTGTTCACTGCTGTAGCCCCGGCTCCTTAAAGAGTAGGCACTTGATAAATATTTGTGGCATATACATTGAAACTAATTGTTTGCCATTTGCATTTTTTACTAATCATATCTAGACGTCCTGCTATCTTAAATTTCCCCTTTTATAAAGAATTAATCATAACAAAAATAGTTTCCTGGCTTCTTCTTATAAATACTGTTGTATCGTATGGCAAATTTTCAAGAGCCATACAATACGACTCTGATGCCTTCAGGATTTCATTTTATCCAGCGGTAAGAGTAATCAGGCATGACTGTTCCTATGCACACCTTCCCGTAGCTGCTCTCGCGTGTTCAGACTTGTCTACCCAGGATACTCACCTATGCCCTCTCGTCATATTTCTTCCCTTCAGAGGGCTTTCCAGTCTGAAACCTAGCACGGGATTTGCTTCCTCTAATGCGTTGCCTCCTTTTCCCCTTCACCACCCACTCCAGGCGATCCTGTAACTTAGAAGTGTTTATTTTTACCATCTGTGTCTGAGTGTGGCTGTGAGCAGAACCAGCCTTGTGTTTAAGGCAAGAACGCCCACCTCCAGTTCTTCCACCCTCACACCCTCACAGTTTCCTCTATACGCCAGATGACGGCTCTTAAAAGGCCTAACCCCTTCCTCCCCCTCCCCTGCAGCTCCATCCTAAACTATCTCCCCACCCCTACCCCAGCATCTCTGAAATTCCCTTGAAATCATTATTATTCTCCACAGAAAGCGCTTTTACAATACAGCAAGTCCCCCTATGTAGGGGTTCCCACTCCAGTCTGCTTCTCGTCTATAAAAATTCTCTTTCCTATTCCCACCACTTCAGAGCAACAGCCATCATCAGCTCTCAAATCTCTGGGCCGAGGGCCCCAAGTGTTTACTTCTTGCTGAAGCACTCAGAATTATCTGTACTGCAACCTGTCCATATCCTCCAGGGTCTCCCGTCTGAGGCTGAGCTCCTGAGGTTTAGAACTACATTTTATTTGTATCTTTAGCACCGTGTAGATTCTCGGTGTTTGTTCAGAGGCGTCAGCCCCATGCTGTCTCGTCAGCACCACACACATTTCCAGTTGTCTACTGGCCACCTCTACCTAGCTGTTCATTATGGACACCTCAGAAATCTCCAATTCACCATAGCCAAAAGCAAATTAATTACTCCCCTACCTCCAAAGCTCCTGATTTCTGATGATTTCAGCCACATCAACTTAGCTTCTCAAAGCAGAAACCACAGTGTGCTCCTCAGTCACGTATAACCAATCAGGATCACTATACGTTTTACTTCAATATCTATTGTCTTCTCTCCCGTCCTCACTGCCCATGTCTAAGGTCAGGCCCCCCTAGTCTCCCGACATGATCTCTCAAACTGCCAGCCCCTCCTCCCCACAGCTACTGTGAGCATGTCCCAGTCCCGCGTGTAAGTCTCTGACATCTCCCCCACTGACTCAGCGATCCAGTCCAAACTCCCCACGTGGCATTCAAGACCTTTCCAGGTCTGGCCCCATCACAGTGCCCTCTTCACTCTACCCCACCTTCTCCACGTAGTTTTCAACCCAGCAGACCTAACTGACCTTCACGCCCTTGACCCTGCTGTATTCTCCTGCCTCTGTGCACGGGGCTTCCTCCGGCTAGAATCCTTTACCCCCAGGTAAGGGCTCGTTTTCATCCTTCATGATTCAACCCCCGTGTAATTTTTGTAAAGCCTTCCTCAACTAATGCTCAGGCTGTTATGTTTATTATTTTTATAACAGCTTCTTTCTACAATGAATTTGAGGCAACTTACAAACTATGCACACACTACAACTAGATTTTTTTTTTTTAACAGAGAGATTATCAGGGCAAAGACACAATACAGGCAAAAAGACAGAATCTAAGGGGTGGTGTAGCATTCAAAACCTCTAACATAAGGTCTCCTATGCATCTTGTTAGAGGTAGATGCGCCCTGAGTTTTCTATCCAGAATGAGTTAGTTACTCGTCCATGAGACCACTGCCAGTTGCAGATGACTGTGCCACAGCAACTTCCCGTATTTTTTGTAATTTGCTCTTTGTCCATCTCCCCCACTAGACTGGGAAATTCCTAAGGGAATACATTATTTCTGACTCATCTCTGTATCCTCAGCATAAGGCGTATGACTCAGCATACAACTGGTGCTCAGCAGACAATTGTTCAACAAATGTCACCCTGGACAGGGAAAAGGGTACTAGTGCTTGTTGAACTCCCTACCACGCATCTGAAAGAAAACACTGTTTTATCCTCACAAAAAACTACATGATTGTGAAGTGGCAGAGCTAGGATTCAAACCCCAAACTTTCTGTCTGTCCAAAACAACTGCTCTTTCCCCTGTGCACGCTGTTCCCTACCTTCACCATCCCCATGTGCCCAAATGCCCCCGCCTTCAAGCCTGGCTTTAAAATAACCCTTCTCCAAGAATCCTTTCCTACTCACTCAGGAGCAAAATGCGCCTGAGTCCAACCTCGACCTTCCACAACACTCAAATGAGAATGGTCACAAATCAGGAGAAGAAAGGGTGCTGCCTTGGATGCTGGGACCTGAGCAGTCTGCTTAGGAATTCTGCAGATGGTGCTGTGAAGTCAGCTCCTCCTCGGGCCCTTCCCCCTTAGTGCAGTCCCTAGGCCTTCCTGCCTTTCTCTTCCTTCTTCAGGGTCCAAAGCCTTCCAGTTCTCCCCAAATAATCTCCTCAGGCCCACTGCTTCTTTAACCAAGTGAACTGTGTTCAAAACTCACTCACTCTTTAGATCAGTTAGGTCTCTGTAATATAAGCATCTTATCTACCTTTAGTGCTGGTGAGTGTCCCATCTCCTCAAACACATTAGAGCAGCGGTTCTCAACCTGTGGGTCGCGACCCCTTTGAGGGTCGAATGACCCTTTCACAGGAGTCACCTAAGACCATCGGAAAACAAAAAGATATTTACATTACGATTCATAACAGTAGCAAAATTACAGTTATAGAGGAGCAACGAAAAGAATTTTATGGTTGGGGGTCACCACAACATGAGGAACTGTATTAAGGGGTCGTGGCATTAGGAAGGTTGAGAACCGCTGCATTAAAAGAACTTCAGGAATTATGAGAAGGGACAATGACATTTTAGGAGGTCCAATCACTTGGCTCTCAACCCATCTGAATACTTTTGGGGTGGCCTGGGAGCAAGAAGAGACAACCTGTGTTCTCACCCCAGCATCCCTCCTACAGCCTACTCCCCCCCACCCCTCCAACCCGCCTCCCATCCCTGGCAGGACGCCCGGTCTCTAAGGGCAGGATGGAATCCTGGTCCAGAATTCGGCTGGTGGTGGGGGGGTAGACCCTGGTCCCTTTCTCAACACCCTCTTCCAGAGTTTCACAACCCTTCCCCTCCCCACATCCAGCCCTTGTCTCTTCTCTGGCACCAAACGCCCACAGCAGCCCTCCATCCTAACTCTGGAACTATGTTTTTGAATTAACATTCAACAATTTCCTTGGTAACACAACCAACTTATCAGGCATGCTGATATTATCCTACCTCGGGTTTTCAATGTGTGACAAATACATCCCTGCACCCTATCACCACTCTCCTGATAATGGAGGAACATCTGTAACCTTAAATGTTACCACACCTAAGAAACGCTCAACCTCCTGAATCACAATAGGGAGGCTACATTCTTTAGTCTCCTCCTTCTAAATAAAGATGATGCCTGCAATTTACAGGAGCTACATCATCGCTCCAGTGTGATGATTTCATTAGATAACTCATGCCAACTGTTTAGTACCTAGGGCCGTGTACACAGAAAGTGCTCAAATTTAGCTATTATCGTTTGCGTGCATTCTCTCCCACAATAGCACCTGGGAGTAGGTGCTTCCACCACACACTCCACCCGCATCCCACAGCACCCCCATTTATAAAAGCAGAGCCGAGGTTCGGAGTCAAGCAGCTTTCCCAAGGTCAGGCGGGCACAGATGTGATGCTGGGCCCACGGCCTCCGAATGCGGGACCGCTCTCCCTACACCCTCGGTCACAAGGGGTTTTAAAGGAGACAAGTAGGGACAAGCGAGCACGGAGCACGGCTTCCAGTGAGGACCCGGGATGGGAAGATCGGGGAGGCACTGCGGATCACATGGGTTTCTCCCAAGCGGCTCCCGGGGATCGGGGGTCCAGAGTCCCCGAACCAGGGCGCGCCGTTAAAGCTCCCCGAGGTCCGCGCCCCGGGCTTTGTACGCCGCAGGCCGGCCCGACTCACCGAGTCCCACCGCGGCGCGCCCCGGCGGCCGCCGGGCCTGCAGGGCGGGGGCAGCGGCGGCTCGGCCCGGAAGCCC